CGTATTGCAAATAAAATACTACGTAAAAATTCACTACTCCAGCAAGTGGTGCTCTATACTGCTGTTCTCAAAAAATAATTAAACTTTGTTTGTAAAGCTCCGAGCCGTCGTCCTTACCATTAAATAATGTCTTCTGCGAGTTCATATAACAGTGCAATTATTGTTCTCCATATTTCTCTGCATATTTATTTATATTTTACGTAAATTCGTTATTTTTGAATTATTCAAATAAATAATATGATTATTTATTTCATAGAATAAATATACAATGAAAAATATAATTAAAGGCATAAATTAATATTTCATACTATTCGTCACTGCCATCGTGAAGATTAAAGTAATTTAACCTGGAAAATTATATGATTTGTTTCTACTGTACATTCTACACTATTTATACACACACACACACACACACACACACACACACACGCACACACACACACACACACACACACATACATATATATATATATATATATATATATATAATATACATGTATGATCATGTTGAAAGATGTATATACATACATGTATGTATATATATATACATATATTTTTTTTATTATATATACATATATTTTTTAATTTTAAAGGTTGTATTCTTGAAATGGAATGTAAAATGGTTATAATTTGAATAAGTTGAAAAAATTTTGTGTTAATATGCCGAAATATGAATTTTTCATTTTTCAATTTTTTTTCAAATTTTTCAAATCGAGGTTGAAACGAATTAAGGTTGATGTAAGGTTTCTGACTCATTTTTTTCTCTTTGGCCAGCTATTTAATTAAATGCATTTGTAGTGTTTTTTTAATTTATTTTATTCAAATATTCATTTCGTGGAGTTATTTTGTATGTTTGTTTGTTAATTTATTCATTAATTCGTTAACTTCATTCATTCATTCATCTATTCATTCATTCATTCGTTCATTCATTCATTCATTAATTAATTCATTCATTCATTCATTCATTCATTCATTCATTCATTCATTCATTCATTCAATTGTTCGTCTGTCTTCGGTTTTTTTAATCACTCATTCATTTTTACAATCATTTATTCGTCTCTCCTTTCAGTGTTCATTCGTTCATTAAATCCTCTATTCAATCACTCAGACAGTATGTTTCGTATTCAGTCGTTCCTTTTTTTCTTTCTTATCAAATTTGTACATTCTTCCTATCGATCAGCTGTGTTATGGTACTCTCACAATCAGACGCTAAACTAGAATGGCACTTGCTCAATCAAGAGTACGGTAGGAAAATTTCACTTAACGATCGGACCGTATGATATGTGCTTATTTTATTTATAAAACTTGTATGATCGCATTCGAATATGCAGTTCGTCACTATTTTTAACGTGCGTGTAATGCAAGTGTATGCGTGTGTGCGTGCGTGCGTGCGTGTGCGCGTGCGTTTGGACTTTGACAAAAATAAAGCAAGTCAAGTTTCAAAGATGATATTGCTATTTTTCATATTTATTGATTATAAATTTGTCATTATATTAGTATTATCATTTAAACTGAATTTTGTATTGTATTGCACTGTTATAACAATTGTTACAAATTTAATCAATTGATAAATTATAAGTACAATGCACAAGTGCCTTCAAAATTAACCTTTACACATGTTCGTACATTAGCTATTAATAACTTTTACACGTCAAGTTGACTATTCGATAACCTTATGCCTGGTGTGTTTTTTCAATAATTAAAGCATTTGATAAGTATTTGGAGTTAAACCGCTCTTTTTAATGGCTTATCAACCTTTCCTTGTGATAAGTAGTGCAAGGTGATTAGTAGAAAACATAGTTACGGCATTATCAGATTCTCATCTATTCAGGCGGTTGCGTTTGACTTCTGCCGATAGGCAACATGTAGAACATTTTTTTGCTCACAGTGTACTTGCAAATTTATTCATTAGGCAAGCGTTCTCGGTCCATCTGAATCACGTACTTTCCGCAGGTATATCGTTTAAAGACGAAAAGTCAAATTAAATTGTTGGCTTCTGCTAACGGAAATTTCTATTATAATATATCGTGTTATAGTTTTGTATGATAATCAAATTATTAACAATAAAATTTTTCTATTTAAATTTATGAAACTTTATGAAATTTTATAAAATTATTGTTAGCATTATGTGTGCTCATCACAAAAGCAGAAGATAAATTATTTAGATAAATATTAAGCCAAATATAATAATAAAATCAACAATAATAATATTATAACGCAAACCTGTCAGCTCAATCTTTTCAATCCTCCCAAACTTTTGAACGAAGGCTGATTTTATTTTAGGCGATTCGATGCTCGTTTTTGTTTCAAATAACTTCTGCTTATAAGTGTCTAAAGTCTCGGCTTACTTGCGGGCTGATAATTTCATCTGTATATCTCTCTCTTCGCAGATTTTTCTTTTTGAGACTTCTCAATTGTGAAAATCTGGTAGTCGTGCTCAGCCTCTAACTTAAATCCGTTCTATCTCTAAATATGATTCAGTAAGTTCTTCATTTCCTTGTCGGCAAGTCGAAGTGATTGTTATAATTGATCTGAATTGATTGACGCTCCGCTCACTGGATCGATGTCGTGAAGTAAGTATCGAGTATTTAACCAGAATACCATAAAAATTGATAAAAATTGTCATTAAAATATAAAATATTCATTTTATTTTCTTTTATTAAATATTTGTTTTAATTCAACGGTCTAATCATGTTATTTCTAAATTACCATCGCAGGTTTTTATTTTTTGCAAAAATTTCGGCGTACCTACATAAAATTATTGTGATCTGCATGTCAGACCCTTCGTCGAAAGATAACATGCTAACTCTCAAAGAATTGTAAACAATTCATTGGAATGATTTTGTAACCGCAGAATGTGCAAACCAGAAACATATTCGATTGTATTATTTTGTGAAAATGTGAGTTTTTGAGTAGATTCAACGAATGCTGATTACTGTACATGTTTCTAGGCTGAATTGTTACTTTGTTTTCACCTTCAATCAACGATTTTTATTATAAGTTTTTAATACTGAAAACAATCTCAAATAATGCGTTTTTTATTTGTAAAACTAAAACCAACATGGATGAATAGATTATAAAATCATTCGTACAAATTTACAAAATTTTGAATAAAATTGATACATCCATTAGAGCTACTGTCAATATGTTGAATCAAGAACTAAATAATTCCACACAAACGATATATTTAGATTTGGATAACAATATTAGTGCATCAGTTTATATTAAAAAAACAACACAGAACTATTGAATGAAACATCAATTTTTATTGGCCTGACCCGTCATTGGTTGAGTCAGCGATAGGGACGACATTTTGAAGAAAAGAAAATAATCAAGATACTGACAGATGACGTCCGTTGATGTTTGAGAAACCTCTGAGTTACTCTTAAAATACTGATTAGTTTCATCAAAGTTGATTTCGGATCCGAAAACATGGTGGCAAAATTCCTTTAACAGTGAATAGACTTCCTTTGGTATGTTGCAGGGCTTGTACTCTATCTGGAGTGCATTTCAAACTTTGTCAAATTTATTATGACTCCATTTGCAAATGAATAAAAATATTAACAACATAAAATATGCATATGTATTTTCATGATTTTAACAACTAAAAAATAAAATGCACAAATCTGAATTTTAAAACTATTTCCCACTTCGATAAGAAGACCTTTGAATGTCGTCATTTGGCCAAAAACAACGGAACCAATTTTAATACTGAAATCACAAAGTGTGAGGATGGCTCCTTTTGATTCAATTTTTGGCTGTTTCTTTATGTAGAATTGTTTCATTTTTTGAATTAACAAATCGAAGGAAGCATCCGTAACCACATGCACACCAGATGGGCTGTCAATGAATGAGTAACAAGAGTACGGTGTCTCACTGTTGTGCAGTACATGCACAGCTTTATTTGGATCTATGGTTGATTTGTTGTGATTTATTTCAATTGTTTATTTAATAATTACCAAATATTTGAATAAATCAAATTTAAGTAAGTGAAACTATAATATATTATTGGACAACAAATTTTCTAATGAAACCTACTTGTAACATATTGATATGTATCACAATCTACTGAAAAGTTTCCAGACTTTTCGGCTCCAAGATCTTCAAGATGTTTTTGGAGATGATCTGCCATCTGTTGACCAGTTTTTCCTTCAGTTATTGGATAATTCATTACGCTAGTAAATGGTAGAACATTAGTACAGTATTTTAAATAAGATTTTAAACTAATTTGACAAATATTTCCTTGAAAATTTCTAACTTAATTGCAAAATAATGAACATTATATAACATTATAACAAATATTCTACATTGCACTGTCTAATACATTTTTTTCTAACTTTTAGATAAAGAAAGCATTTGTAAAAACTTAAGAACAAAATGATTAAAAGTAAAATTTTAAATAAATTAAAATAAATAATATGAAATTTAATAACTTTTATCATCTAACTCAGTGGCAGATCTAGACAACAACAGGAAAGGCCTACATTTTTAAAATGTTTGAACGACACTGACCGTGGAACAAAAATTTTAAAAATATTTAAACGTTGACCTTGGGGAATATCAATAATAATTAAGGTGTGAAAGTTTGAAAAAATCTGAAGCTTAGTTTTGTTAAAGCAACTTTTCAAATTTAATGCCTATAATCATAATAACGGTTTTTTGTAAAAAAAAATATAACTAATAATCTAGGACCTGTAAAATTTTCAGGGTTTATTAATTCATGTGTGTATGGTGTAAATATTATTAATTTCTGATACGTAGTTTTTTTCTAAAAAATGTTCAAAAATTTAGTGCAAAAAACAAAAACTGGTTTTTACTGAATAAAAATTTAACTTACACAGTCTCTACATTATTACTTTGTGAATAGTTTGAGATTTATTTTTTAATGCTTATATTGAAATTCTTGGCTGTGTTATAAATCCTTAGCTAACTTCACACACATTAATATTTATAAATCAGTGATCAGAGCGGGTGAGTTCAAATAGTTTCAAGAGTGCCAAGATTTCGACGGATGGGCCAAGTTATGCTAACAACATTTTTCTCTTTATTGGACTTATCACTGGCCTACAGGTCTCCTTCTTAGATCCACCACTGATCTTAACTTAATCTTACTTAATAAATTATTTTATTAAATAAAAACTTAATAATAATAATAATTAATAAGAATGAAATTTTATATGCAAATCAAAAAATAGAATTAAAGTTCTGGTTAGCTTTAGGTTATAAAATATGAACAGATAGATAACTCAATTTTAAAAAGGTGTGCTAGGTGCATTATTCAATAATTTTTTATTTTGGACTATTAAATAGCTTTTTTAAATAAGCACATAAAACTGAAAATTAAAAAACTCATTCTTACCAAACAACTCCCATCTCCAGCAGAAAGCAAATGGCAAATACAAATAGGAATAAAGAATTTGGTATAACAAATAAAATTAACAATTTCCCCAATCAACTTAACCAACAATTTCGAAACAAGAATAAACTTTTCTTTACGTCATAAAAAGTTAAAAATTTACAATTGACAAGTAAAAAATAAATTTACCGACTACACGCTTGTTAACTCTGAAAACTAAACCTAATTTATTATGGACAGCCAATTTATATATTTACAAATATTTTTTTTATTTATTTATAAGTTTTTTATATTGAACCCATATATAAAAAATATATACATATAAGATGTATTTTATATATATGATTGTACCTTATATCACAATTTATTTGTACTTTAGCTTAGCAGAGCGGTTTACATGTTGATCTACACTTATCATAAAACTTTTGTGCCACAAAACACTGTACAGTATCCACAGCACACGCATCTTACATGTATGATACTTTTTCAGTTTCGGACAGATTGCATTGAAATAGAACCAAGCCAAAGTGTAATAAGCAAAGCAAGACATGGCATTTCCCCCGACTGAGCTATTACAGAAAATAACCAGGATCCCACGGTTCCCATTCTTAGAATTTACGATGTTTATTAAAAACACTGTGAAAAACTTATCGCATATTAGAAACGGGAAATATATAAACTGAAAAGCTTGAGAGTTCTTATTAGATAAAAAAAATAAAATGACTATGTAAAATTGACGGTAAGATAACGACCATAAACATCTAATAAACTGTTGAAAGTTGGAAAAATTTGTTCTTCCACATCTTGCGGATTTTAGCATGTCGAATAAATTCTAAATATATGACATTGTTAATATAAGTTGCTTATGTATATAAGCTTTATTATATGTATACATATAGACATATATATATATATATATATATATATACATATATATATATATATATATATATATATATATATATATTTATATATATATATATATATATATATATATATATATATATATATATATATATATATATATATATATATATATATATATATATATATATATGTTGGTAATAGACCATCATTTTTACAATATTCTATAAATTCTACCGAATGTTTGGCGTTAATATGTTTGTAGTTCGTTTTTTCGATTTTTCTCACTAAAGTTTTTTGGTGAACGTTTAGTTTATTAAAATTCAAAATAAACTTATTTTTCGAATTCATACTGCAACTAAGGCCATATTTCGATTCCGAATGAATCATCGTCAGTGCTCCTTGTTGTATATATAGGGAAATATTGACTATGTCAATATCATGGAATTATATAACTGGAAGCGCCCGACCAGCGTTTTAACATTGAAAATTTTTTTCAACGGGCAAGTTACCTCTGGAAGCAAGTTTCTAAAAATTAATTATTCATGAGCATTTTGGTTTATTTTTAGAAAAATCTGAGATATAATTAGAAAAAATCTTGGCCTTCCCGAAGTTATGTTAATGACTCTTTGCCGATCTGCATTCAGTTCGTTAGTTAAAATTTATTTCGTTTTCAACATTCCGTGAAGTTTTAGGTTAATTTATGAGGTTTATATAACCACCGTATTTAATGTTTAATCGTTAAATGGATATTGCCATTTTTTGATGCATCAGAAAAATCGAAGATTTATAATAAGTTCGTTAGCGATCCTCTTTTTCTGAAATAAAGATTTCTTCATTCATTCTCCCAGCACCCACGAATCACGATGATGATCATTTACTTCATATCATTTCATTAGAGTAAGAATCATTCCTAAATTAAATTAGATTCTAATTTAGAATCTAGAAAACGAAAAGAAGTCGGTAAAAATTTTATTGTAAAAACTAAAAATGAAATGTTATTAATATTTAAAAAATATAACTCATAATCAATTTATAATATTGTTATAATATAAATAAATTAATCAACTAATAATTTTTAAATTAAGATGTAATTCCTGTGCATATGTCCTCAACTAGAATCTTTCAACACTCCAAAGCTTACAATTCAAAGGAATAATTACTTTCAACATCACATACCCAAACCAAATTTAATCACACAGAGGAAGTTTTTAAAATTTATTTTGGTAGTAAAAGCAAACACTTTTTTTTTCTGTTTAAATGTTATGATTTATAATTTTATATTATTTATTAATATATTATATTTTATTATATATTATAATTTATTTTATAATATTATATTTATATATATTTAATAAATTATATATATATTATTATATTTATATATATATGTTGGTAATAGACCATCATTTTTACAATATTCTATAAATTCTACCGAATGTTTGGCGTTAATATGTTTGTAGTTCGTTTTTTCGATTTTTCTCACTAAAGTTTTTTGGTGAACGTTTAGTTTATTAAAATTCAAAATAAACTTATTTTTCGAATTCATACTGCAACTAAGGCCATATTTCGATTCCGAATGAATCATCGTCAGTGCTCCTTGTTGTATATATAGGGAAATATTGACTATGTCAATATCATGGAATTATATAACTGGAAGCGCCCGACCAGCGTTTTAACATTGAAAATTTTTTTCAACGGGCAAGTTACCTCTGGAAGCAAGTTTCTAAAAATTAATTATTCATGAGCATTTTGGTTTATTTTTAGAAAAATCTGAGATATAATTAGAAAAATCTTGCCTTCCCGAAGTTAT